TATCTTTTTTTTTATGTACTGTAGCACTTTGAGGTTTGTTTCAAATGTAAAGTGCAATACAAATAAAATGTATTATTATTATTATTATTATTCTGTTGTTGATTTACTTCTGTGCTTTGGGTCGCTGTCCTGTTGCATCACCCATCTTCTGTTGAGCTTCAATTGGTGGACAGATGGCCTTAAGTTCTCCAGCAAAATGTTTTGATAAACTTGAGAATTCATTTTTCCGTCGATGATGGCAATCTGTCCAGGCCCTGAGGCAGCAAAGCAGCCCCAAACCATGATGCTCCCTCCACCATACTTCACAGTTGGGATGAGGTTTTGATGTTGGTGTGCTGTGCCTTTTTTTCTCCACACATAGCGTTGTGTGTTCCTTCCAAACAACTCAACTTTGGTTTAATCTGTCCACAGAATATTTTGCCAGTAGTGCTGTGGAACATCCAGGTGCTCTTTTGCAAACTTAAAACGTGCAGCAATGTTTTTTCTGGACAGCAGTGGCTTCCTCCATTTTATGACCAACTTATGCAGAAATCCAGGTAATTCCAAAGGGTTCACTTTTTCTTGCAACTGTAAGTGTGTGTGACAGTGAGAGTGCAGCACCAGGCCTTCAGCCCCCAGAACTAATCTTACTTGTCCATTTCAACCTCAGTCTCCCACTCCAGCAGCGGCACTCCTCTCAGCTGGATGTGGATGTCATAGATGCCTTTGTTGAAAAAATCTCCCGTCCACTTGGCAACCTGGTGGTCAACACAAAAGCATGAAGCACGTGAACCCAACAAGAATGACATGACTATTATTCACAACTCTCACTCCTCAAGACCAACATGGAAACATTGACTCCTTGTGAAAAAACAGCATAATTGTTGCTGTACCATTAGAGTAATCATGATGGGCAGCCCATATGTGATTTCATTGGTGGATTCAATGAGGATGACGGTCAGACTAATGGTCATCCTGACCACGCCTCCCAGGAAGGCAGCAGCTCCAATCAGAGCAAAGGTCCCCGGGTAGATGTCCATTCCCAGCTTCCTAACAGAGGACAAACCAGAGGGGACAGAGTGAGGATTGTGTGGTGAGTGTAAAGACGTGAGTCTCCATCAGGAAGCAGCATGGCTTCATCCTCAGACAATGGGCCCCACCACCTCTCCTACAGAGAGGCAACACACACAGGGATTCAGCCTCTGCTTTGTGTCTTTCTGTTGTCGTTACGTTGGTAGGCAACTTCAGGAATCCATACATTTTAGCAGGCTGTGAGGAACTCTGGCTCTATGTTTAGTCTTTTTTCTACCATTGTTCCAAAGTACCTTTGAACCTTCACCTTAATAAGTATCTTTACATTCTCTCCTTATTCACTTTTGTCTGCATTTTTCATGTCTTTGTGTGAGTCACATGGTTAGCTTAGCTTAGCATAAAGACCAAGGGCGTCGCCTGGACCTAAAAACATTCGGGGCTTAGCCCACAGTGGCGGCGGCCTCGGCGCTACAGTGGAATTTTCTACTGCAACACTCCCCACACGCACACACACAGTACACCCGCGACTGTTACAATTAAGGCTCGATAATCTCACGGCATATAGGCAGGGGCAAAGTGCTATTTTTTATTAGTGGGCCATTAGCCCAGGCCAGGCGACGCCACTGATAAAGACTTCAAGCAAGGCAAACAACTAGCTTAGCAAGGTCCAAAGTTAAAATATTGGATGTATTCATTGTTTGACAATCTTGCCTTCAAAGGCTTCACTTCATTAAAAAAAAACATTTTGGCAGATAAACTCCATCAGTGGCATATTCCCAGAGCAACATAATCCTTCATCAGGAGGCTCTGGGCCTGTTCAGACCATCTCTAGGCCATGGTCTAAGATCATGGAGACAGTGCATTTAGGGCATGGCCAAGTCTCGCTTTTGTGCTAATTCTTAATAATATAAACTGTATTTCTTTCTGATGCAACCTGTGGAGGGCACGGGCTGAAAGAAGAGTGGAAATAACAGCCTGCAGAGGAGCTGTGATAAGCCGGACATCAGACAAAACATAGAGGTTAAAGAGGAGGCCCTGTGGACATGTTGCACATATAGTAGGGATGTGCATCTCCATCACTGAGGCCGATGCGATGCGCATCTCGATACGTTGCCAACGATACGATACATTAACGATACATTTGAAGCACCAGGCGATGCGATATGATTCACCCCTGTTGCGATATAGTTAGATACGATTTGATTCAACATTATGCGATTCGGGGTGATACGATGAGATTTAACACGATGCAAAATAATGATACAATTCAATATGTTACGACAGAGGATTTTTGTTTATTCCTTATATGCAGCAAATCATACATTTACAAACAAGTGCTTTACTTATTTGGTTCTCTCTACTAGTACTGCACATCCCATCATGCTTTTTCTTTTTTACCTTAAAAAAAAACACACTTGGGCCTTTCACAAACAGGCTTTTTCAAAAGTGTAGTAGTGTTCTCTGTCTCTATAGTACAGTACCATTTTATAACACCTCACAGTTAAACAATTTAAGGATGCATCGCCCAGGATTAACAATGTGCAAATAACAACTACCATAGTGCAATGCCCATACAGCTGCCAGCCTGATGTGCTTAACACTCATTCATAGGCTAACTCACCAGTGAGCAGAAAGCAGTGGTTTCTATATGAACAATACAGAATACTAATAACCTTTCACAAACAGGTCATTCGTAACTGCTTACAGTAAGGAAGACATTTAAATTATTATTGGCAGTCACAGGCTGCTGTAAACTAAACACCACTCTCTCTGACACAACACTTCACTGAGTGATTTAACTCATATGTCTAACTTTCAGGTTTCTCTTTTCAGCCGCAGACCCCATGTCGCCTCTTTACAGTATGTGCGTTGCTAAGTTCCTCGTACTACTTGTGTACTTTAAAGCGGCACGGCATCGTTAACAATTTGCGAGCGATTTTTCAAGTTGTCTGTCTTTCTTGAAAAATCAGAAGTGTTGCCAAACATTTGATTTGTAGGTATTTTTCGGTGCTCTGTGTTTGTCTTTCTCCTCGACTTCCATGTGTGTTGATAACTGAAACTCTCGGCCTCCATAGTGCGAAGCAAAGATCAAAGATCGTTTCTGCTGAGTGCTGACAGGATGAGAGGATATTATATGAATGAATAGTTTTTTTACCAATGCAAAGACGCTACAATCGATGCATCGCCAGTTCAACCCAAACTGTAGCCAATGTGCACTCTTTCAACCGGTGCACTCGCATTTTGAAAGTGTGTGTGTGTGCATGTTTTAGGCACTGAAGAGATGGTTTCAAATCTTAAGTGTTTCTGTAACACATTAAATCTCCATGACTAAATAAGATGGTCCGTGATGCAGGCGATCAGGATGCTCTCTATGGTGCACCTGTAGAAGTTCAGGATCCTCTCTGTCGTGGACCTGTAGAAGTTCAGGATGCTCTCTATGGTTCACCTGTAGAAGGTCAGGATGCTCTCTATGGTGCACCTGTAGAAGGTCAGGATGCTCTCTATGGTGCAAGTGTAGAAGGTCAGGATACTCTCTATGGTGCACCTGTAGAAGGTCAGGATGCTCTCTATGGTGCACCTGTAGAAGTTCAGGATCCTCTCTGTCGTGCACCTGTAGAAGTTCAGGATGCTCTCTATGGTTCACCTGTAGAAGGTCAGGAAGCTCTCTATAGTGCACCTGTAGAAGGTCAGGAAGCTCTCTATAGTGCACCTGTAGAAGGTCAGGATACTCTCTATGGTGCACCTGTAGAAGGTCAGGATACTCTCTATGGTTCACCTGTAGAAGGTCAGGATGCTCTCTATAGTGCACCTGTAGAAGCTCAGGATACTCTCTATGGTGCACCTGTAGAAGCTCAGGATCCCCTCTATGGTGCACCTGTAGAAGTTGCAGAGTATCCTGGAGTCCATGTTGAACCTCCTCAGCCTGCGGAGGAAGAAGAGCTGCTGTCGAGCTGTTTTGGTGATGGTGTTAGTGTGATGAGTCCATGTCAGGTCCTCAGTAATATGGACATCCGAGGAACCTGAAACCGCTGACTCTCTCCACGTGACCATTGACAGCCCGCAAGCGTGTAAAGAGGGTAACTTCCCCAATAGAACTAGAACCCCTTCTAAATCGGACCCACCGTTTCACGAGCAATTCGGCCCCCACTTACGAGACAGCGTCAG